AGAGCAAATCTCGCTTCCAAGGGAGGCCTGTCCTAACCTCTCTGACTCAGTGCCATTGTCTGGACAGTCTCTAAGTCCCACGAGAGCATGGGCTGTGTCTGTTTTTGCTAACTGCTGTATTCTAGCATGTAGCATATACCATGCAGTGGAGAATAAGCACTTAAGACATATTTGCTGAATAAGTGAAAGTGTAAATAGGTATGGGAGGTCACAGACAGGTAGGTAGACTTTGGCCTGCAGACATTTTGTTTATCTCCACGCAGTGTTTAAAATGTCTTTTGATGTCTTTGGACTGACACGTACCTTTCCGTTTCCTCCGTCTCTGACCTGCCCAACCTTCATCGTTAGAGATTTAGTTGGGAATTTAGAATGACATTCTCATAGACACCTAGAAATTTAGGGCCAGATTCACTTTTGGTGACAAACCAGAGATGTTTAGGAGGTCTGAGAAATAGTAGGTTGCCAGTCAGTGGCTTTGTAAAATCTAACCTTTCAGGCGTGGAAAGGGATGAGCTGTTGGTGTGGGAAGGTATCTTAAAAGGCTCTTATGACATTGTATTGGAACTGACCCCAGGCACTAATGAAAGAGTAATCCTCCTTGAATCACCCCAAAGCCAGTAATCCCTAGCGCTGCATGTTGGTGATTAAAAAAGAAAGGTAGGAGCAGCTGTCTTTTTGTTCAGTTTAATTATGACCCAGTACCTGGGTGAGTGTTAATTTCCTGGTGGCACTGGAGGTGGGTGGAGAAAGGTGTCAGGTTTCTGCACGCTGCCGGGACTGAATGTGCAGACATGGATTCTGCCTGGTGTGTGCCCCGGGATCCGGATGCTGTTCAGGGGAGCTCAAGCTCACGATCTCAGGTTGCGTGGCATTCAGTTTCTGCCCTTTAAGTCCGAGACGTGGGCCACTGTGTGTCTGAGGACACAGCAGTGCTATCAAGTGTCAGCTAGACCGCACACCTTAATTAACAGCCCCCCACCCGAGCAGGGCAGCTGCTGGGCCTCTGAGGGAGAAGTTCATCAAGTCAGGCCGAAGAGGAACATTTAG